GACTTTCTAAATAATACCAGTATGTAGTATAAAACATATAATTCATGTAGTATAATAATAATGAAAAAAAAAAGTATAGAATAAATTTCTTATCTAATTTTACAAAAATTGCCGCCCACAAATAAATATATAGTACAAATAGACATCTAAAATCACACACAAAAATTCAAAAACAACTCAAATTTAAATTCATTATCAAATATAACTCTAATTTTCAAATATTATTTTTTCACTTTAAAAATAAAAAAAAATATTTTTCAAATTTCACAATTTTCAAGGTGAAACAAACTTTAATTTTATTTTTTTTTTCAAAATTTTTTTTACTCCATTTTTCTAATTTCCTCTTCAATTACCACCTCTCTCTCTCTTAGAGAGATTTTCATGTTTCCTCTTTAATTTTGTTTATTTCTCTAGAAATTCATAATTCATAATCTCTTTTTTTTCTTAATTTATTTGTTCCTTTCTTGAATTCTTTTTCTTTAAATTCCCCCTTTTCACAATTTCTTGTTCTTTTTCAAAAATGAATTAGCCTGTACAAATTAATTTTGACCCTGTTTTTTCCCGGTCAAAATGAAATCGCCGGCGATGACAGGGCCAACCGGGTCATCGACGGTGCACCGTCGACAACCGTTGTTACGAACAGAAACTACAACGCCAACGACGATGATGAATCACTGCGAAACTTTTCGTAAACGGAAAGGCGAAGTCGCCGGAAGAACGGCGGCGGAGTGCGCGACGGTGTGCTGTTGTCTTCCGTGTGCGATGATGCATTTTCTCATACTGGCGGTGTATAAAGTTCCGACGGGATTGTGCCGGAAAATGTTGAGGAAAAATAAACAGAAAAGGCTTTTGAATAATAGCAATAATAAGAAGAATGAATCCAAATGCTGCCAAGTTACCGCTGCCGGCGACGGGAAAGAGTCGGAAAATGTCAATGCCGTCGGCGGCGGAAACGGCGGCGGAAAGCCAGCGTCGGCGGAATCGGAAACGGAGATGTGGGGTCGGTTTTATGAAGGTGGATTTTGGAGAAACTCATCACAGAAAAAAGAAGAATAAAAGGGTAAGAAAAAATATTTTTTTTTAAAAAAAGATAAAAAAAAGAGGGCATTGATTATTATTTTTTATTTGTTTTGCCTTTTTTGGGTTAGAGAAAAGGGTATTTCAATGATTATGGTTTTGTAAATATAATTGCAAAAAGAAGTAGCAAAAAGTTTTATTTTTCTATTTTTGCTATCAATTGTTGTAATATCTTTGTGAAAATGATAAATGCAAAAATGTGGATTGGAATTTTTTAATGGTTAAGTTCTTTGATTAATAATGTTGTTTGGATTAGATTATGTGTTAATTTCAATTTAACAGACTTGAATCGAAAAAGAACTATTGATTATCGAGATTGAGTTATCTATTAAACTATTGGAAATCTATTTTGCGTTTATCTTATTTTGTCTTATTAGTCTAGTTAATGATTTTTTTTATTAACTTTCAATTCTTTTGGTTAAATTGATAAAATTTATATTTCATTTCAATTTGTTTAAAATTGAAACTTAACGTAACACATTACAGAGGCTAACAGAGCAGCCTTTTGGTAGAGTGTTTTTTTCCCTTGTTAAAATTGATACAAATTTGAATTATTTGAATCAGTGAATTTAAAGGTCTTTTTTATCCGATCATGGAGAATTTTCTATGGAAAGCTCTTATGATCACTTGCTAATTAAACCCAAGAAATTAATCTTTTCAGATCACTAGTATAAAAATAAAAAATTTCTTGTCAAAAGAACGTAAAACTAAAAATCTAAGCTGTCCATGAGCATCATGGCATAGGTAAAAGGGAACGAGGAGGCAAGCCCGCCATCTTCCGCATATCTTGCTCATCCGACATGGCATGAATCACCGAACCTGCACTCAGGAATAGTAATGCTTTGAAAAAGGCGTGATTCATTAAGTGAAAGACGAAATTTATAAAAGTCTACAAAATCAAATCTCCCAAATTTTCATACGTCTTTTTTCTAACCAATTTTTTTTGTCACAAGCATGGGCCCCACTCTAAGTAGTATCCTATGCATAAAACACTTGTACTCTAGTAAGAACCACAAAAAACATCATCTTGAAGTTAGCTAGAACTTAGAACCATCTATTTTTTTGCTTCCAAAATGGCACTCTCTTTCACCTCAATTCCCAAATGCCCAAGTTCATCAAGATTTAGCTATGGTTCAACACAATTACCCCTCAATTTAATCATCAAATGTGAGTTAAATACAAATGGTGGCTCACAAAAACTTGAAATTGGGTCACCAATTATAGTAATTGAGTCTCCTAAGTTGCTCAAAACTGCTGCCTCCGTGCCTTGTCTTAGACCCAATGTTGGCTTGGTCAAACCCGGTGACGTTGGCAGGTGCGTGCTCAATTTTATTCTCTTTCTATTTTTTGCGGATTTATCTTATATACAGTGATAATATATGAGTTTTTACAATGTGTATATAATATTATTATCCTGCTTTATGTGTTATACTATTAGATCATCTTTAATTGCCTTTATGATGATTGTGCGAAATATGTTAAGTTTTTGGTGTATAAAAAAGTTGTTTCTTACTATATACTATGATAAAGTAATGAACCTTGTTCAACATCATAAAAGGAAATTAAGGACCTTTGGACCCATTGACATGGGACAACAACACTCCTTGGTTCTTTGCACGTCTAAGATTGGACATTTGAAGCATGAATAATATTATACAGTAGACCAATCATCGAAAATATTGAATTAGGTGAACCTGACTCTGATACCATGATAAAGAAATGAACCTAGAGGGCTAACTCAATCCAAAAACCAACTCTTGATGCTAATTGAAAATTATTTTTTCATTTAGACTAAACACATTTTGTTCGATATAAACTATTGTATTTAGCTCAAATTATATGAGTGGAAAAAAAATTAAACTAAACTTTATACATGTAAGTTTATACTAAATAAAATTGAATTAATGTAATGCAGGATAGTGTCAAGGAAGCCTATGGACGTGTGGGCAGTTCGTCTCAGCATTGGCACTTATCTTATTGACAGAAAATATTTTAAGCCCTTAGAGCTAGAGGAGTGATCGAGTCGAGAGGCTGAGTCAGAATTTACAGTAATTTGTGGGTTCAAAATTTGTTATTTAACTCATAATTCATCTTAGTTACTCGGTTCATAATTAAATGTTTTTATACGTTTAATGAATTTTCTGATATAAATACAAAGTCTAGCAAAAGTTACGATATTTGTCTGAACCCCTATTTAGTACACTAGCTATATGTGTTAAAATTTACGAAATAAATATAAATAAATAGATTTCAATTAAATTAAATCGAATAAATTGTGATATAAATAACTATATGTTGACCTCACTTTGTTTTGTTTTTGTAAAAAATGTTGAGTTAGTTTTGCAAAAATAATAATATATATATATATATATTTTTATAAATTTTGATTAAATCGCTGTCTGTGGGGATCGAACCCACGACCACGTGGTTAAAAGCCACGCGCTCTACCACTGAGCTAAGACGGCTATTATGTTATGTGTATGCCGTAATACAATATAATCAATAAATAATATGAAGAACAACACAGGTAAATTAGAACTTTAATAGGATGGGATAACTTATCCCAGGATTAACAATTAGTCCTGGGATAAGTTATCCCTCCCTGGGGTGGAATAGTAATCCCAACAACTTATCCTGGGATAAAGTAGGTATAACAAAAATACCCCCTTAAACTCTCTTTTCTACACCACTTTACATTCATGTATATTAACATAATTTTTAACAACATTTATAATGACATTCACAATCTTAATTATTTATTGTTCTTAAGATAATATATTTTCTAATAAAAAAATACATTTTATAAATACAATTTTTCTTTGAATTTATTTGCCTAATTCTTATGTGTATTTATATTTTGATTTCTCTTAAAATGTTCACTTCACTACTAAATTGCATATTAATTAAATACTTTACTACTCACTTAAAAATTATATTTTTAATATCAATTAAAATGTAAAGAACTTTAATGATAAATTTTCTTTTACCTTAATAAACTTAAAACGGAAGTATGATGAGCTTACTATGTAATATAGAAGGTGAGATAAAATAATCTAATGAGATATCCTTACTTATTCTAACTCGCGTATCAAACGAGCCCATAAGTGAATAGTACTTTAAATTTGTTTTTGTTGACAAAAGTTCGACTAAACTCTTTGGCTTTGCAGGGGGTAATTAGAGGGATTGGTACAAATTAGATATGCATTGTAACAAATAACTACATAGAGTCGAGTTGAATCAAATCGGTTCTCTTTTAATTGAGTCTGTATTTATATTATTAAAAAGCTAAATAAGGTTAAAATATAGAGTGAAATATAAACAATGATATTTTCTGCCAATTATGACTTTGGTGCGAAGCATGGTAAGCCTGCCTCGGAGGAGCATACATAGAGTGGAAGAGCTAGGAGAGTCCGAGTCAAGGAAGGTTAGTGTTATGAAGTGAAAACCTAAGAGAGATATTTGAAGTTATCCATTAATAGCTTGATGATTTCAAAATTTTTGAAAGTTATATAAAAGGTATATATAGACATAATTTTATTCGTATCAAACATTTTGAAACACCCCGAAATAAGAATGTCAAACAAATTGGAATGAAGCTTTGTCTAATGCAATTACTATAAATGTTGTACGTTGATAGAAATGTATTCGTATCAAACATTTTGAAACACTCCAAAATAAGAATGTCATATAAAGGGCATACTTGATTGAGATTGATTAGATGGAAAGTGTGTATATAGACTCTAACTCGCAAAGTTGACAGATACATTACTTTAACAACAACATTACCAAAAGCACACAAATTGGATCAACATGTATACAAAAACAAACATATTGGGTAGCCATATTATTTATATATGAACCTCAAGCAATATATTTACAACAAAATGGATAACAAAATAATAAGATACTTGCTTTTGTGATATATAAATTTACTTTATTTTTTCATCTTTTGCTTGATAGTCTACCAGGAGCAATCAAAACTATATATTATGAAGCTTTTCTTACACAAAAATTACTTCACTTGAATCATGTTTTTCTAGTTTCCTTTCACTGCTTGAGTTGTGATTCCGAATCCGAAGGGGAACAAAGGATCATAGTGTGGATCGCCAACGTTCATTGGGAGCTGATCGACTCTCTTGAACCAAGTACGCGCGAGTTTACCAGTGAATCCATAGTCACCAAACAGAACATCAGCAACACCTTGTCCTTCAGTTCCTGGAAGCCAAGCAGCCACAATTACATCCATTTTCTCAACGTATGGCTCGATCACAACAGGACGTCCAGAGATGATGACTACAACACATTTCACTGCCCCGCAAACGTTTTGTATAATGCTAGGACCTGGATCAGGTATTGTGAGGTTTGAGCTATCGCCGTTCACTTCAGCATATGTATTTTCACCAACAACTACGACAGCATAGTCGAATTTGCTCGATTGCACAAAGTTAGTGTCTGGCTCCTCGTTGAATACTACTTGTGTTGCAGGATCAACTGTTTTCTTGATAGCATCTAAGACAGTTGTTCCTGTAAGATTTCGAGATGCATCAGTTTAAGTTCACACATGTTGCAGAACAACTATTTGGCAAATGATGCAGATGTATTGCTAAAATTGGTCTCTCTCGTAGGGGTCGGGACACTCACAAAGGAGGAGGGAGGCGACTGAACATCTCAGCCATTCCTCTTATCATATCCCCAATTCTTGTTCCTTGTTCACCCAAGACCTCGTACAATCGTGTCAGGTGAGCAACAACCGCTTCATCACAGTACTTACTTATGGACTAATAGGAGCGGAGAGCAGACAGTAGACATGGTGCATCTTATCCAATGTAAAATAGATAGGCTTATGTATCTAGTATGAGACACGTTATACAATGATTTTGAATCAGAAGAGAAATTTCAAGAAATCTAGTATGAGACACGTTATACTCGTCAATCAATAACCGAGCAGAATCTAGTGTATCATAAGGGATTGACGCTAGTACGTCAAGACAAATGAAGGATTCGTGTAGTACTCTAGTCGAAACGACAGAATAAGAACAGAACATACCAACTGTAAGGTTACTGTGAGGAACACCCTGCCATGTTATTGTCCAGCCTCCACACTGGTAACCCAAATTGTCTGCATGAGTTCCAGCTACAAGTATCTTTGCCGCCTTTTTCGGAAGGGGAACTAATGGTTGCTCAGCTGTCTTGCCATTCTTCAAAAGCACAAGTGATTTCCTTACTGCTTCCCTTGCAATTTCTCTATGTTCCTGTACAAATATGTACAACCATATTAACTCTAACATGAAAACAGAAATATCCTAATGAATCGAAACATAAGCATATTGTACCGGGCTGCCCAAATGTTTTGCTAAGCTAAGATCACCCAATGGATCCTCAAAGAGTCCCATGACAAACTTAACCCTTAGTATACGCTTCACAGCATCATCGATTCTGCTCATGGGAACGACGTTTTTATTCACTAGCATTGTTAGATTGCCAATAAAATCTGTGTAGTTATTCGGTACCATAACCTGTGTGTAGACAAAACAGACATACATGAACGACGAAAACTCATTTTCATATATTCACTACTGAGAAATTCGACATATACTAACCATGTCAATTCCTGCCATAATACTTGCTTCAACTGAATACGTGTAATTTGCGTTGGCTGGGTTAGTAATCCGGTTAATACCTTCCCAATCTGAAATGACAAAGCCCTGAAATATACATGCCAAAAGACGTGGTTATATACTTCGATACATCCATCATGGACGTTAACCAAAAGATAACTTTAGACTGTCCGTGCATATAACTTTAGCTAATCGTTCTTACCCTGAAGTTCAACCTCTTCTTTAGGAAACCAGTGAGTAGATGTGTGTTAGCATGCATCCTTTCACCGTTCAAGCTCGAGTAAGATGCCATAACTGTTGCAACACCCTTTATGACTGAATCGTAATATGCAGGCATGTGGATGCTAAATAATCCTTTTGAATCGACTATTGTGTTGTTTTCATCGAGTCCATTCACAGTACCACCATCTGCCACAAAGTGCTTAGCACAGCCTGCTACCTTTGTCCTTTACAAATAGAATAGTTCAGAATACAAACGTTGTCAGCGTTGGTTGCTTTGACAGAATTTCTTAGCAATAATACAGATATATCGAAAGAACAGGACATATAATAGATCATTCAATGAAAATGAAAGAACAACGATACATACTTTCCGTTAACATAAGGTGTTCCCTTGCTCATGTTAGCTGGCAAATCGCCTTGTAAACCAGGAATGATCTCTGTCATGCTTCGTACAATGTTAATATCTTCGCTGAAACTTTCATAACAACGACCCCATCTCGGGTTTCTACATACCTACCATAAGATAAATTATTAGTATATCAAACATCTTTATGTGCTAGAATTAGTGTCAATCATATCAACTTACTGCAATGCATGGAGAGAAAGCATATGGTATTCCAGTAGCTCTGACTTCAAGTGCTGTTGCAGCCCCTATTCGCTTCATAAGTTCAGGATCCCTATCAACGAAAACGCGAGGATTTCAGGATTGAACCAAAACATCATAGTTCTTAGAAGCCAATTATCATAAAGAAACAATCAAATGTAATCCCTCTTCGCGATTACAAGAGATACACCAGAGCATTCAGGCATCGATAGCATAGACTACGAGAAAAACAGTATGGCATGTACTTCATTATAGTCTAATTCAAACAAAGATATCTCGGGGAACACACATTAATACTATGCATCAAAGGAAGGCGTTCTGCATTTCAAAGAGCGATTTATCGAAACTTGCCTGGTGACACCAAGTCCAACATTGTGAGGAAAGATTGTTGCTTTGTAGACATTATTATGGCCATGAACTGCATCAATGCCATAAATCATGGGAATACCGAGGCGAGTCGAGAGAGATCCCTTTTGAAAATCATTTACCATATTCACCCAATCCTCAGCTGTGGCATTAGGTTTTGGTACACTCCCTCCACCACTCAATAGACTCCCTGCAGGAAAAAATAAATATAGTTGAAGATAAAAGGGGTCTTTACTACACAAGTAGCGGATCGGATTCACTGTTTACTTATTCGAGCTGATATACGTAAATTATACAATGTTGTCAAATTTGAACTTCCAAATACAAGAAAATGCTGAGAGTTGAAGCTTTTTATAGAACAAATGTGCCTTTTCAAACCATGTTGCTCGGACTCTCCAAATATGTTGTCACACACCCATATCAGATCCGCCAAAACGTACTATTTTTGGAGGATCTGAGATGCACCCGTCAACATTTTTGAAGAGCGACATAGTTTTCAAACACCAAATGAGCAAAAACTTCAAGAATGGCCAATTCAAAATCCTTTAAAAATGCACTATTTTAGAGGACCCAACACGCATCCGTCTACATTTGTTTGAAAAACATAGTTTTCAAACACCAAATGGATTTTTTTTTTTCAAGAATAACCAATTCATCAATCCTCTGAAAATGCACTATTTTAGAGGATCCGAATCCACATTTTTGAAGAGTCGACACAGTTTTCAAACACCAAATGAACAAAAAATTCAAGAATGACCAATTCATCAATCCTTTAAAAATGCACTATTTTAAAGGATCCGAATCCACATTTTTGAAGAGTCTGAACAACATAGTTTTCAAACACCAAATGGAAATATTTTTCAAGAATAGCCAATTATCAATCCCCTATAAATGCAATATTTTAGAGGATTCGAATCCACATTTTTGAAGAGTCTGAACAACATAGTTTTCAAAAACCAAATATTCCAAAATTTCAAGAATAGCCAATCCATCAATCCTCTAAAAACCCACTATACACCTATCAACATTTTCGAAGAGTCCGACCAACATAGATATTCAAACACCAAAATAGACAAAAATTTCAAGAATAACCAATTCATCAATCCACTAAAAATCCACTATACACCTATCAACATTTTCGAAGATTCCGACCAACATAGATTTTCAAACACCAAATAGACAAAAATTTCAAGAATGGCCAATTTATCAATCCTCTATCGACATTTTTTAAGAGTCCGACCAACATAGATTTTCAAACATAAAAATAGACAAAAATTTCAAGAATGACCAATTCATCAATCCACTAAAAATCCACTATACACCTGTCAACATTTCCGAAGAGTCTAACCAACATAAATATTCAAACGCCAAAATATACAAAAATTTCAAAAATAACCAATTAATAACTCAAAAAAGAAAAAAAATAATTAAAAATTCAAAAACATACCAATAAAATATTTACTCATAACCTCAGCAGATGCAACTTTCCTCTCAATTTGAGTCATTTGACCAATTTTCTCTTCAAGTGTCATTCGTTTCAACAAATCTTTAATTCTAACACCCAATTTTTGTTTTGGATCTTTATATTTCATATTTTCTGCCTCTATAACCATTGCCAAGACACAAAATAACATAAATCCCATAATGGGTATTTTTACAAATTTCCCCATCTTGTTACAACTTCAGTAATAATCTTCTAGGACAATATGTTATGAACAAACAAATAACAAAAGTTAGATAACAAGTAGGAAAGAAAACATAAAACAGATGAATTTTTTCCTTTTAATTTTTTTTAATTTTTAATTTTTGGATAAAATTTGATAGGAGAAAAAAAAAAAAAAAAAAATATATATAGAGCTCTTGGTGATGGTTCATATATATGGTATGAGTTATATGTACTTATACATTATATATACACACAAAAGAGAATTTTAAGGTATGGTTAAGAGGATTTTTTGCTAGGGAGTGATTATGTATGAATAATTTGTAACAAACTTTGTTTTGGATCATGAATGTGTGACACATTTTTATGTGTTAGTTAATATTTTTCTAAAATATTGGAAATATTAAAAAAAAAGAGTTTGTGTTAGTTGACTTTTTCTTATAAAATTGAAACTATAAAGATGAAATTCCGGTATGGATATTACTTGGGGTAAATTAGTAATCTAATTCGTCCATTTTGATTTTCTTTTAAAAAATACGATACAATAAATTTTGCCAAAAATGCCAAAAGGGTAAACAAATTGTGGGAGAAATTAAAGTCAAACTGAAAAAAACCCGACAAATCAAGTGAAACAGACAAAAAAACGATTTGTAGTTTGGTTTGGTTTGATTGATTTGGCGTTGAAAAAACAACCTACCATTCTTGATTTGATATGGTATTAAAAGAAAAAAAGTCAAATAGAACTCAAAAAAAATCGACATAATATATATAATTTTATTTTATTTTATAGATAAAAAGTATTAATTATAATCTACTTTGTTAATATATTTTTAATTAGATAATAGTTTTCAATGTTTAGATATATTATTTCAAATTGGGGATTGTAAACTTTAGTAAATATTTTATTTTGTGTTCAGAACGGAATACAATTATACTATTATAGTTTTTCAGATTCGAAGTTAACAATCTACTTTGAATCATGAATGTGTGACACATTTTTATGTGTTAGTTAATATTTTCCTATAAATTTGGAAATATTCAAAAAAAAGAAAAGAGTTTGTGTTAATTGACTTTTTCTTATAAAATTGAAACCATAAAGATAAAATTGCAGTATGGATATTACTTGGGGTAAAATAGTAATCTAATTCATTCATTTTGATTTATTTTTCTTAAAATACGATATAATAAATTTTGCCAAAAAGCCAAAAGGGTAAACAAATTGTGGGTGAAATTAAAGTCAAACCAAAACCGAAAAAAAAAAAGATTTGTGGTTTGATTTGGTTGGTTTGGCGTTGAAAATAAAAACTACCATTCTTAATTTGAATTGGTATTAAAAGAAAAAAAGTCAAATAGAACTCAAACCAAACCGACAAAATGTTTAACTCTAATTAGTTTGTAAGTTAATTTTTTATTATTTATAGTTATAAAGATGTTATTTTTGAAAATAAATATTCAGATTAATTACATAAATCTAAGCATGTTTTAAATAAGTGTTTATAAGGACTTGGAGTAATTTCATATGTCTTTAACATTTATCCCACATACTAAACAAATAAGTAATTTAGTGACATATTTTATCATCTTTTTAAAATATAAAAATAAATGCAATGATGTTAATAAAGATACTTTCTCTGTCCCATGTTATTATTATTTATTCATTTTCCCATGTACCTTAAGTAATAATAAATAGGAAGAGTATTATTTTTATTAATTTACCTTTTAATTCTTTAAATACACTTTATTTATGTGTCTTATCCATATCCATCGATAGCACGATTAAAAATGGAGGAACTTTTTTGGAAGTTTACAATATTTATACTTTCAAAAAAATAAAGGAAAACAGACAACTATATCCCCGAACTATTGTAAATGGTATACAAATACCCTCCGTCATACTTTTGGGACATTGGTGCCCCTGCCGTCCAAAAACTAGAGCATAGATGTCCTTCACTCTAATAAAAGACTAAATAGGGACACGTGACACAATCTTATCCGTCTATCCGATATTTAATAAATGTCGGGTCCGTGAATAAGATTATGATACGTGTATGTCCGTTAGTATAAAGGGTATATATGTTCTAGTTTTTGGACGGTAGGGGTACCAATGTTCCAAAAATATGACGGAGGGTATTTGCATAACATGTACGATAGTTCGGAGGTATATTTATCCCTTTTTCCAAAAGAAAGAAGGAAAAATGGAATTATTTTTATTAATTCTATCTATTGACATCTAATTTTGACCCTCTTGTAAGTTGTTATTTTACTTCTAATATTTTTTTTATCATTTTACATGATTACAAACTCTTTAATAGTTTAATATTATAATTAACTACACCTGATTATTATTCTCATAATTTTATATGTGAATTTAACTTGATTTTATAATAGCTCAAAATAGTTTTGGTCATGTCATAAATATTATTATTATAATTAATATCCTTATAATTATTTTAAGCCCAATTTTAACCAAACTCCTAAACCCATCAGAGAACCCGTTTCAGTAAAAAATCTCACCCATTCAGTTTGGATGAATTAGTTATTCATCTTCTAATACACAAATAACACATACATTCCCTTGTAAGTAAGCGTTAGTTATGCGAGATTGTAATCTGGTAGCAAAACATCAAAGTTGGTGTGTAAAATTTTATATAGGGCAACTAAAATGCTACCAAACATAGTACGAGTTATATTGGTTTTATTACATGAATAATTTATAAGTTTATAAGACTGATTCTTGTTTGTTTTCTTCATAGCAAGGATAATGTCATTAAACAGTCACAAATGATGAGGTCGATCAAGGAGGAGTTTGAAGACATAATATGTTTTGGTTATTATATTAGAAAATTATTGTGTAATAGGAGTAAATATTTAATTGACTTGTTAGTGGTTGAACTATTTATCATATTTGAGTTGAGAAGTATTATTTGTCCTTTCAAAAGCAGTAATGAGTGTTTTAAATATTAATTAGAAGCACTCTTTTTGTTCGAAAAATAGGTTTCAGTGGCGACTTTTATTTGCCAGTAAAACTCAGTAGATATTTGCAGCGAAACGTGTTGCGACTGAAGGAATAATAATTTATGGCAACACCAGTCGCTAAGGCTAGGCACCGGACCGGAATGGGACCACCGGATCGAAATAAATCGGTATCGGATCGGAACGGGATGGTTTGACCGGGTTGTTGATCGGTACTAAGATAAACCGGACCAGAATTATCGGGATGGAGGCTTGGTTCCATCCCGTCCCACTATATACCGGAATAGAACCGGGACGGACCGAAATGGACTGGAACGGAACGGGATGGGATAAACAGGACGGCACATATAGCTATTCAAAAAATATTTTTTATTTTTGAGTTATTTTGAATTACGAAAATATGAATATTTTTTTATTTTTCTAAGTTTAATAGTTTATAGTATTTACTTTTTAGATTTATAATGTAATTTTACTTAAGTTTATTTTAAAGATATTTTTTTAAAATTTTACTTATATAAGTTTGTAAGTTAAGTTTAATAAAATAAAATTTAAAAAGTTTTTGAGCTTATATTATAAGTTTTCAAGATTTGAATCTTTTGAAGTTTATAAGTTATTAAGTTATTAAGTTATTAAATTATACTTATAACTTGTAATTTAAATAACTTGAGTTTGTAATTTTAAAAAATTAAATAAGCAACAAAGAAATGCTAATGAAAGTATAAAACAATGACACAAATACTATTTTTAATTTAATTATAAATGATTTATCGGGACCAGACCGGATCGAAACGGAACGGAACCGAGATGAATCGGTACCGATATACCGGTACCAAATCATGATACCATTCTGTTCCGTGTACCGATTCAATGTATCACATTCCGTCCCGAATACTACCGGACCGGAATGGTACCGAAACAGTACCGATACAACCCTGTCCGGTGCCAGTCGATCTTACTGGTAGCCACTAAAACCCAGTTGATATTGCAGCGACAACTGTTGCTACTAAAATTTTAATTTATTTAGTGACGATTATGGTCGCCACTAAAAATCATTCTAAAGTGGCGACCTGAAACCTTTTTATGACCATAACCATTTATTTCTATCATTTTAAAAAATACAACAATTCTTACTCTCTCTTATTCTTGGATACATTACTTTATGTGATATATCGGTCGGATACATCACTTTACACGATGTATCGTAACGTTGACTGATGTATCCAAAATCAAGATGTGATGTATCGGGATGTACATGATGTATCCAAAATCGAGATGTGATGTATTGGGATGTACGCGATGTATCGCAACTTTAAGTGATGTATCCAAAATCACTTAAAGTGTGTAGTTTTAGTAGCGACTCTTTCTAGTCGTCACAAATAACATTTAGTTATAGACGTAATTGCTACGCCGCTAAGGTCGCCACAGAAAACCTATTGACTTTTTAAGTTTCTGTAGCGACTTTCATCACCACTAAAAGTCTAGTTTCTTGTAGTGTGTAGACTGGATTACGTAATCCTTAATTCCATTTCCCTCTAGAGGGCAATGTTATCTAAGCGCAAAAAATATCTAAAGTTCGTTGAGTCTTTAAGCGCAAACCGCAAATAAAGCTCTAAGGTTCGTTGAGTCTGTAAGCGCAAACCGCAAATAAAGCTCAAAAGTTCGTTGAGTCTGTAAGCGTAAACCACAAATAAAATGGAGCTATAATGAAAAAAGCGGGGGCTAAAACCTTTTTGCCCAACACCCTTTTTTTTTAGTTCTTTATAGCTGAAGTATTCCTATTCCCTATCCATAGTATCATTTCAAATTAAGATAAATATTTTTGGCAATTCTAGTATATTTTTTGTCTTGCATAATTCAATTGAAGTTATCATCAATCCTTAATAAGAATGTTAGGTACAAATCATATAATATCTAAATCTAATTGCTAATGTCAATTAACAAAGACATCACTGCCTTCTACCCCTTATATATACTCAGTCAGCACTGTCTTCTTCATCCATTTCCAATCTTATATAAAACTCACCTTCTTCTCAAGTACTTTCA